GCACTGGGATTGTGCAGCTGGAGCAGAGGAGCTGAGGGCAGAGCTCAGGGGCTGCAGCTCCTCCCGAGGGCAGCTCTGATCTCTGCCCTGGGACAGGGACAGGAGCCAGGGCATGGCTGGGGCTGGGCCAGGGCAGGGCAGGCTGAGATCAGGGCAAGGTTCTGTCCCCAGAGGGTGCTGGCACTGCCCAGGGAATGGGCACAGCCCCGAGGCTGCCAGAGCTCCAGGAGAGTTTGGACAACCAGGAATGCCCAGGATGGGATTATTGGGGGTCTGGGCAGGGATAGGGGCTGCACTGGATGAGCCTGTGGGTCCCTCCAGCTCAGGATATTCGATAATCTCTGAATTCCTGCCATGCCTCCCCACAGCCACCCTGCTCCTCTCACAGCCTGGGGCCATCCCAGCCAGGCTGGAGACCCTGAGGGATCAAAGGCACAGAGGTGGCCAAACCCCATCCCTGACAGGGCTCTTGATAGGCCCTTCCTAACTTCACCCAGATCAGTGCCCAGGCCATTCCCTGGAGGCTTTTGGCTGCCTTTCATGCAGGTCTTTTAATGCAAAGTTATTTTAATGCTGTGCTTTGCATTCTGCTGCTTCCCCTCCCTGTCAGCGGCCGCTGCCAGGCAAGGTTAAAGCAGCCGAGCTGGACCTGCTGGGCTGTTGTGCACGGATGGGCTGGGTGTGCTGCTGGAAACTGGGATTTATGGGGCACTGCTGAGGAGTTGGTGGTGTACAGGGATGGCTCTGGAACCCCAGGGTGAAGCTCCACAAGGTGTTTCCTGGGATAAGAAGGAATTGCTACCGTGCCAGCACTCCTTGCTGTGAACAGGCACAGGGAGCACCAGCCAGCCTTTAGAATTCCCAGCTCCTGTTTCACTGCCCAGATGTACCCAGATGTGCCTGGGGATTGTCTCAGCGTCCTGCTGGTGTTACAGAAGCACTGGGGCCAGATTTCACCCTCCACCACCTGCCCCAGGGTGTTGGTGATGTTCAGATCTGGGCAGATTGTCCCAATCCACTGGAAAACTACTAAAACTCTGGGTTAGGTGTTGTTTGTAGTCTGAACATGACAGACACTGGACTGCCTTAGTGCTTGCTGAGAATTGTCGTCTGATCCTGGCGTTTTCCAGTCCCACGGAACTTTCCCAGCAGGGCAGGGACGCTGAGGGGAGGCGGGAGCTCCGCAGCTCCTCCGGTGGCTGCTGGAGGGGAGCTGGCAGCAGCAAAATGCGATGGCAACGATGTGCTGAGGCTGCTGGACACTGTCCTCATCACCAGCTATGCTATTTAATGTAATTTTTGGCGATTTTTCATCCTCCAGACTCGCTCTGGAACCTGGCATGGACTTTTTTTTGCTTTGCAGTGCATTAGAAAATGATGAACGAGCTGCAAAGGGTTAAAAGGGAGCGTTTGTATAAAAACAATGAATCCCATTTTTGCTTGATTGGCACTTTAATTAGGCCCATGTCCTTTTGCTGCCACTGCAATCAGATTGGAGGAGAATGGGAAGCTTCCACACCGTTATATTTATCTCAAGATTACAAGATTTCCATTTTTTTTTCAATGCAAAGGGGAAAAAAACAAGAAAAGAAAAAAAGAAAGGAAGAAAAAAACCCTCTGCTACTTTATAAACGTGGCAAGGGAATGATATTATTTAGGGCTCGGTGAAAGTGTGGCTTCCTGATTGCAGCACAAGAATTAATCTTATTATGTTAACAAGGGATTGTTATGCTAAGGAGGAGAGGGAAGAAAAGTTCTGTCTCTCAAGTCTGCCAGGGACTGCGCAAGCTCCAGTGCAGCCTTGAATTTAAGAGCTCCAGCGAGAAGGAGAGAGCCAAAAGTCCTTGTGGTTTTACAAGGCAATTTCCCTCGCTTTCCTCTCCCTGTGTTTAGGGGGAGGTTGTAATGCCTGGGAGTCTCCTGGGACTGCTCCAGATGATCTGGGCTGGTAAAGAATGGCTCAGGTGTGAGCTGAAATCACCCCACAGAACCTGAGCCCAGCCTGGAATCCCAAAGGAAGCCACCCCAAATGGGGCTGAGCAGGGTTTTACACCCACAGCTCTGGGTGTGAAACAACAAAGACAATAAAAGACAACTCTGAGCCCATCACAGCGGGGAAATGGGACCCTGGAGATTTCCAGTTCCTCACCTTCATGGGAAATATGTCTGTGGAAAAGAAGGGTCCCTTTATCCACCAAAATACAGAAAAAAATTTGTTCTGCACTACTTCTGGTGCTGCCAGGTGTAAAAAGAGAAAGCTCTGGGTAACCCTGATGCTCCTTCCCCATCTCCCAGTCCTGAACCCCAACAACATCTGCAGTCCAGGGAATGAACATTCCCCAGCACATCCTCCCTGAGCTGGTTGTGTTACAGGGAGATGAGCAAGAGCCTGGAGTCAATACCAGCCCCACTTTTCTCTCTCTTTTTTCCCAGGAAGCTTTCAGAGCCCATGACGAGCATGAGCATCTCTGGAAGCAGAAGTTGGCTGCAGAATTCCAGCCTGTTCCTGGGCTTTGCTCAAATCCAGGCAAAGGGTTTGTTGTGCACTGCAATGGTTTATTCTTCAGAGCAGAGATAGAAATGATGCTGTTTGATTGAGGTGGCTAATTACACAGCTTGGAAAGTAAATTACAGCTATCAAATACCCCAGTGAATATTCCCTCACAAATAGGCAGAGAAGAAAATGAAATTTTTTGGGTTTGCTGGCAATTTGGAAATAAAAACATTGTCTCTGGTGGCGAATTTAAAACCAATCCCTTTCAAATTCTTCTGCAACTGCTAAATTCAAATGATGCTTTGTTGCAGACCAACCAGACAGTTCACCCTGATAGCTCTAAGCTACTTTTATTTTTTCTAGTTGGAGGGTTTGTGTTTCTTTGTGACTTTTGGAAACCTTTGGCCTCTCTTTACTATCTAATCTTTTCAGTGAAAAATATTAATAGCAAGTTTAAAACCAGATAAAACTGCCCAAGTGCAGTAAAAATCTTTGTCATATGGAGTAAATTGCTTGGCAGAAAAAGCTTAATAGGAAAAAACCCACCCTAAGCCATCCATCTTCTCAATTAGTAAATACACAAAAGTCTGAATTTCATTCCCACAGGCTGGAAAGATTTATAAGCAAGGATTAAAATGAAGGGGAATGTGGGGAAGAGCAGCAAACGCCTGGATCAAGGCTGGGGGCTGAGCTGATCCATCTCCATCTCATCCCTGAGCTTCCCTGCCTGGATGGAATGGCTCTTTGGGTGCTGTTTGCTTACCCAACTCCTCCCAGAAGATGCTGCTGCTTGTTTTTCTGGGACCACACCCCAAACCAGCCCTGTATTTCACCTGCAGCCACACAAGATTGGATCTCTTACATATCAACCTTCTCGGGCCAGGATGCCAAGCTCTACTCCCCCAAACCTCCCCTCTGCCTGTGCTTTTGGGCTGGAGGACTGGAACCCAAACTTACCATGACTCGGGTTTTGGTTGTTATTGCTGCCCCAAGATGTGCAGGATGTCTCTGCTTCGGCCCACGCAGCTGAAGAATGAGTCTGGACTATTC